CAAAGTAAGCAAATTTATGGTAAATGGCCTTGGATTTTAAGGTAAAGGCTTTTAAAAGCATATTTTAAACTGTTTTGAGATGGTGGCGGGATCTAACCCGATTTTTATTAGCACTTGAGCATGATTGTTTTGAAATAAAAGTTGTTATTATTTTTATTAAATTGAGCATACCTACATGGAGTTTTCTGTTAGTTTTGAAAATTTGAAATTCGTTTGTGAATTTTGAATTTTATTGTTAATTCTTGCATGGTTTTGTCTTCAATACGGTCATGAATTCTGTTATCTTGTCAGTGGGAGTTAAACATTGGCACATGTTGACATGTATTTCTGTAGAGCCGATTCATCCAACCCATGGGAGAGTACATTGGCATTTTTCTGCTATCCAACCAGTAGGAGAGTACATTGGTATTTCTATTATCCAGCCAGTTGGGAGAATACACTGGCCATGACTAATTGAGGGGACCACTAAATAGATTTCAGTATGCATAAATGATTTATAACTGTGATTTTCTTTCTGTTTGAAATTAAAATGTTTACTTGGCATGCTTTAAAATTTTAGTGAGGGCTATCCATATTTTTACTTACTGAGTTGTCTCACATAGTTTTTTTTCCTTGTCCACCATTTAGGTAGTGAGACTTGAGACGCGTGAAACTAAAGGGAGTGACGAGCTAGAGGGCTAGCCACTTATAATTGGATATAGATTTTTAGATATAGATCATGCTTTTGTAAGTTAGATTTTATTTTGAGATTTTATAAATTAATTTAGTGGATTGTTAGTTATGAATTTAGTAACTTTCGAGCCTTGTGCATTTGTGGGATCCTCTCACAAGTGTACGGCATTTGTTTTGCTCCCAGTTTTGGGGCATGACAAATTTTGTGGTATTAGAGCCTAGGTTTAACTAAATACCTAGGGCTAATTTAGAACTTGGTTGGCCAATGGATTTTAGAACCGTGGTGAGACGAGTGATGGGGTTATATAGGGGACGGTTCTGATTCTTATTCCATGAATTTTTCCTGATCCAGTTTGACTAGATGGTATTCTTATTAGTTCCCATTACCATCCTTGATATGTGTAGAATCTTGAAATTTATCTTGCTCACTGTGCTCTTAAGACCTTGTTTTGAAACTTGGTCTTTTGTGATAAATTGCACTTGTTTGGACTTGTTACTTGAATAGAAATTTTGATGGAACTTTTGATACCTATTGGAACTACTTGTTAGACTCTTGAAAGTCGTCTTGAACCCTTTTTTTTTAGATTGCTTGGTACTGGTTCTTGAAACTAAAATCCAAATATGGATTATAACTGTTGAAATCCTCATTATCTTGAGACTTGTCTGAAATTGTTTCTTGCATCGTGCTTGGAATCAGTTCTTGAGTCTTACTTGGAATAAATTCATGTTAACATCTTATTCTTGAAAATTGATTGATACTTGGTTTTTGGAATCTATTATGAATTGTCCTTGAAAACCATTCTTGTTTTGACACCTGCTCTTACTCAAATTTTAAATACTACTCCTGTTCAAATCTTGAATTCTATGCTAGTTCTTGTCTCTGTATACCAATATAGTTGTTAATTTTCTTGATTTTTAAGTTTCATATGGACCCTTCTTTAGGAGGGGTGATGATTACTAGAAAATATCTATAGAAGCATCTTAATTCTTGTCTCTTGCAAGTGCTAATCTTTACATTCTTGATGCCTTGGTTTTGACTTGACTCTAGGAATGACTTGATTGTAAATCTGCTTAGCCTCCATGTGCTACCATGTGAAAGGGGTAGACTTTGAAATACTTGATGCCCTAGAGTTCTGTTTCAAGAGAAATGGTTCTTTTATTTGGCTGCTCTGATTCTTTTTTTTTTCTCTTAATTAAAAGACATTAATTTTCCAAGTATCTTGATCCCAACTATTGCTTTGTTTTGTTAATAAATTCTAGTTACTTAAGGTGCTAGATCTTGATGTCCTGGTTATATCTGCTCTTGAATCCTTGTTCTTGTTGTCATTGTTGAAACTTTCTTGTGGGCCTAGTTTTGAATCCTATTGTTTATCTCATGGTTAAATCTTGCCTCTTGATTCTGACTAATTGTTTAAACTTGATCCTGATTCTTGGTTAATATCATTTTTGTAGCTGAATTTTTGAGGCATTTTGCCTTGCATTCTTCTGTTCCAGTATTCGTCCAAGCATTTTATCTTATGTTTATTTGTTTAAGTATTTATTCAGACATTCATACATGAATGCAAACAAGGATACACAAGCATATACATGCATACCAGCATGCACACACAGGCGTTCATACATGCATGCACACACAGGCGTTCATACATGCATGCACACATAGGCATTCATTCATGCACGCATACACATACATATGGGTTTCCATTTGAGCAAGCATGCATGCATGCATTCATCCATGATTCCATACACCCATTTGTTGCTTATCTGTCTCTAATAGGATTCAAAGTTTTAGTTGTACTTGTCCTTTAATCCTTGTCATGTTGTTGTGTTTGATGGGCGCTTGGCCTTGACTTTGGGTCAAGGGCACCACAGTTAGCTCCTACTTCCCAACTAGCCATTGGGGAGGTTAGAGAATGGGATTCGTTGCTAGCTTGTCAGAGTAGTGATGAGTACCTGTCCCTATAAAGTGGGTCCATTTTGTTGTACCTTTGAAATTTGTCAACCATGTATCTTGAAATTGAATTCCTTATAATTATGACACTTGAATTTAAGGATTCTAGTAGAGAGACATAGTTAATTCTTCTAGGTGACTATTATATTTCTCAAACTTGTAATAGCATTGGCATGATAGTAAAAGGATCCTCCCAAGGTACTTAAGAGAGTAACATGTGTCAGAAAAGTGGATTTCGAGCACATGTACTTGTCTCAAAAAGGGCAAGATTGATAGGCCTTGTTATTAGTATTTCCATCATTCCTCTAGTCATTTATTAATTTGATTCTTCAATGCTTGGTTTTTGAGTGTCAGGGCATTTTTGTGTTTAATTTTGTTTAGGTAATATGTTTAATTCTTTGTTATGGAATATGGATAGCTTCTGTTGCAAGTGATTAATTTAGTGCTTGGATTATGAGAAAATTGAGCAAAAGAGCGGGGAAAGTGGTTTGAGATCGTACAGTTTTTTGGAAATTGGGTCAATGATCAAGAAGTTGTGGTTTTGAAAAAAAAAATTATTCTTTTTATTTTCTCGTTTTTTTTTCTCTTTATTTGATTTTTAGGTAATCAAAGAGATCATAAGTTTTAAGAGCAATGATTAGTTTAATTAGATACGATGGGCCATAATCATGAGGACTTGATACCGAGTATCAAAATCTGAGATAGAACTATCTTTTGAGGTTGTGTTGTTTTTGTGGTAGTTGTGATTGCTTCTTACTGTTGCTAATTTCTGTTGTGATTGTTGATGTTGATGCTAATGCTGCTACCTATTTTGTGTTTAAAATTTGCTGTGTAAATGTAGCCCTTGTTTGCATTGTTTAGTCTAATATAGATTGTTATTCTAGAATGACATTTGTTTTGTATTCTACTTGCCTTGTAAAGTATTTAATCAGTTTTGTGACAGCTATCTAGCTGTTTCTTTGTTAGATATCCTTGTTTGGTTTCCTTTGTATCTTTTTACCTAACCAAGGTCTGGTTATGAAGCCTTGAGAGCTATGACGACAAAGGTTTACTTTTTATCTAGTTACCTACAGAAGGTCTAGTCATAAAGTTCGTAGAACTATGATGTCCTTCTTCTAGAGCTTGTCTTGCTTGTGGATTATTATTGAGAATCAGTGAATGAAATTGTGCCAAACCCAGTCCATACCCTCTAGGTTTGCAGAACATTTGGATTGTTATATGTCTCCTGTGTTGTGCTATAGTGTCCTTATTTGCCACAAAAAAAAAAAGAAAAAAGAGTTGTTATCTCAAGCATCTTCTTTAGGACAAGATGGTACCTTTAAAGATATGCTTGAGATGGACCATTGAACACAGTTTATCTCAAATTGAGAACTTGATCTTTTGGAGTTTGTGTAATATGTCTCCCTAATCTAGGGGTTTACTTTTGATTTTGCTATGTGTCGTTTCTTGACCATTAATATTATGAAGGTCTTAAATTTAGGTTGGAGACAGCACTTTAGGATCACCTTAGTTTTCTTGATGTTTTACCGTAGAGCTTGGAATAAATGTAGGTTACTGGAATCTAATTTTAGTTCTAAAGGTCATTATTTGGAACTCAAATTTTATGCGGGAAGAGTCTAGATCTTCCATGATTCCTTGATTTGATTTTGCTTGATCTTTCTAGACTCCTGATTTAAGTTATATCCTCGAATATATCTTGCTAACCAATAATTGTTGCGGCTATTGGGAAATTTTCCCACGTTGCCTTCTCTAATTGTTTTCTTTTGGTTTCACTAGTACTGTTTGGAATTTTATGCTACTATTTTTATGAAGCTGTTCTTTGTTTTGGGGGCCATGATCAGGATCCCGACTTGGCTAGTGCGTTGACATTCTTTGTGTCATTTCCTGTTCACTTCTCCTTGTTATGGGTAGTGTAACACAATTCAACTAATGATGTTTTGTAGCCTTGACACTATTTATTCTGCTCCTTGTGTTTTTTGTATCACCCTAGCCTCTACTAGCTTGTTGCGAAAAATCCTTCTACGTAGCCAATATTCTACTTTTAAGGTTCATCATGGTATGATATCAAAGTATCAAAGTTGTGTAGTGGGAGAGTAATAGGCATGTCCTATTTATAAAAAGCTGGTGGGGTAGCTTATAAATCATAGGTTGCCAAAGAACCTAATGGGTGCTCAAGTTTTTATGTATATATGCTTGGAGTTATATTCTAATCCAATCTAAGTGATTGACTTTGAATTGTATCAACCCTACGAAGGTTTGTCATATGATGGGCACTTATTTGTCTTAGATTGCATGAAGTCATTCGCAACTCTAGATGATCCTAGATTTGAGTTTTGGGGAGACAAAATTCCTTTTTAGGAGGGGTGAATGTAATTTCCCAAATTTTTTTGAAATTTTAGCATTTAAGTTAGGGACTTATGTGGTAGAAATTATTATTTTGAGCCTAATCGTAAAAATTCACTACCCTAAGGGGGTTGAAACTGAAATTTGGTTATAAAAGGAGGCTGAGGCTAATTTTTTTTTTTTTTTCATCTTTCTCCAGGTCTCTTGTGTGAATCTCCAGCAGCTCATTAGAATTTTCCTCCCAAAGTCTAGCCTGCACCCAATAGCTTCTTCTCGTTAGAAATAGGTAAGAAACTTAGCTTTTCTTCCTTCTCCTACCAAGATATAGAGATTAAGAGGCTTATTATTGTCAAAATCATGAACAATATTTCAGATCTGGGTTGCTACACTCTTCAATCTGCTAATCTGTTTGGGTTGCTGTCCATCACCATTTTCAGCACTTTTTGGTAAGAAATCAACCATATTACTCGTCTTTTCCTCTATGATTTGAAATGGGTTAACTCTAATCCTTTAGGGTTTTCAAATTTTAGAAATTTTTTGTAGTTGCCCCTTGATTTTGTCCATGATAAATACCACCAGAAACTAATTTCCTTTACTTGCCAAAAATTCAAACTGCATGACCTTTTTGTAGTATTTTGCCCATAACTCTTTTTGTAGTTATCAGATTAAGTCAATTCTTAATTTTGTAGAAAGCTGAAAGATAGCCCTACAACTTTTATGTTGAGCATTTAACCTAATTAAGTTGTTTTCATGGTGAAACACTACTGCAATTTTGGTCCCTGCAAGTAGACTGCACTGGCGGCCCGACTTTCTGTTAGTATTTTGGCCATAACTCTCTCTATAGATGTCAGATTAAGGTAATTCTTGAGGCTATAAAATGCTCAGACATACAGCTACAATATATCTGTTGACCACTCAACCCAGATTGGTCAATTTCTAGACATGAATTCTGTTGAAAATTTCAACACGAAATCTAACCAGAATTTGACAAAAATTTGCTCTCTTTTCTGTTTTATTCCCACTTTATCTGCCGCTACATTACATCATAGTTTTAGTAGACTTTTAGTGCTGTTTCTCTACTCTAAAACCCTTTTTTATTGCTTTTTTTTGGATGCCCTTTTTTGCTGCTTAGATGTTGTCCATTTTTGCCCAATTCTAGCTTGCGTTCTACCTTGTTTTTGCTGCTATCTTTTGCCCAGAAATCCCTACTATTCAGGTCCTCTTCTAAGCATTTTGGGACTACTTTAAATGGCAGAAAACCCCCCACTTTGCTGCCCAATATTTCTGCTGTGTCTAGGATAGCTAAAAGCTCAATTTCTAACCATTTTTCCATCTTATTTTGTCCAAAAATCTGTTTGGGATACTTGCTGTTTGTGTGTCTTTTTGGAGTTGTTTTAAGCCTATTCTAAGTATTCATTGATGTGGTATAGGTTCTAAATCACCTCAAGCACCTTGCCTTCTTGAATTCCTTGCTTGTTGTATACCTACAAGGTGAGATAAATAAATTTATGGTAAATGCCCTTGGATTTTAAGGTAAAGGCTTTTAAAAGCATATTTTAAACTTTTTTGAGATGGTGGCGAGATCTAACCCAATTTTTATTAAATTGAGCATGCCTACATGGAGTTTTCTTTTTGTTCTGGAAATCTAAAATTGGTTTGTGAATTTTGAATTTTATTGTTAATTCCACATGGTTTTGTCTCCGATATGGTCATGAATTCTGTTATCTTGTTAGTGGAAGTTAAACACTAGCACATGTCAACATGTATTTCTGTAGAGCCGGTTCATCCAACCAATGAGAAAGTACATTAGCATTTTCTGCTATCCAGCCAATAGGAGAGTACACTGGTATTTATGTTATTAAGCCAGTTGGGAGAATACACTAGCCATGACTAATTGAGGGGACCACTAAATAGATTTCAGTATGCATAAATGATTTATAATTGTGATTTTCTTCTTATTTGAAATTAAAATGTTTACTTGGCATGCTTAAAAATTTTAGTGAGGGTTATTTATATTTTTATTTACTAAGTTGTCTCACATAGCTTTTTCCTTGTCCACCATTTCAGCTAGTGAGACTTGAGACACGGGAAACTAAGGGGAGTGATGAGCTAGAAGGCTAGCCACTTGTAATTGGATATAGATTTTTAGATATAGATCATGCTTTTGCAAGTTAGATTTTATTTTGAGATTTTATAAATTAATTTAGTGGATTTTTGGTTATGAATTTAGTAACTTTCGAGCCTTGTGCATTTGTGGGATCTTCTCACAAGTGTACAGTGTCTGTTTTGCTTCCGGTTTTTGGGCGTGACATTGTGCCTTAAGAGCTACATTTGAACATTGCAACACCCTGTATTAGCCCATTGCATTATTACACTTTTAAGGTATTACCCATCATGTAGAGAAAATGTACATCCCTTTGCCTTTCTTTAACCACAAAAATATTCTAATTTGAACGACTTAAAACGTGCTTTTCATTGATGCCATTGTTGCTCTGAAACTTAGATTGTTCCATGCAATTCAAAGTGACCATGAGATGACAATAATAACGAGACCCACACTGTCCTTATCTTTGCATTAAAGAACCTCACAAAGCCACCTGTCCTTGTCTCTTGAACTACATTTGGAAGTACAGCCACGTATCCCCACCAATTGAAGCATTTCATGCTCACTTGATGAGCAGATTTGCAAGTAGGCATGATGTGCCCTTCATCCTCAGCTTCTTCTCTACTAGCAAGATGGGATAGGACTGCAACTTGGTGTTGATCCGCAAGTTTGGTGTGGTTTATAATCCAACACAAAAAATGTTGGTTCTATGCGAATTTATTCCAAACCAAACCAACTTTTGTATGGATCCGATCCAATCCAATCCATGATTACTGGATTGGATCGGTTTTGTTAACAAGGAACGGTTTTTCAATATATTTAGGTTAAGAGGAATAGAGGGTGGAAAGAGGAGAAAAAAAAGTTTTCTATTTAGTTAGTAAAAATTGGAGGGGAGGGGAGGGGAGGGGAGGAGAAAATCTTTCTTTACTTTGTTAATTTTTTTATTTTTATTTAGTTATTTATCCAAATAATTGGAATAAATGAAAATGAAAGGATATAATTTTCCTTCCTTCTCTTCTCCTTCTCTTCATTCCCCTTAACCCAAACATAAGATTTGTTTTCTTCCTTTTATATTTTAAAATCAAGGGTTAGTGTAGGTAGGTCATCCTCTTAAAATGGTTTTTAGGGTGTATCTAAAACTTATCTTTTAATTAATATTTTCAAAAATTAACCTTTGGATTGAAAGTTCCACTTATATAGATCATATATGTCAATTTTTATATTAATTTAACACTTATAACTTATTTGATTAAAGAAACTCTATTTACTAATATATATTTAAATGTGTTAAATTTTGTATAATCAACAAAGTGATTAATTCTACTAAATCATTCTAAAAATTAATATATATATGATTTATATAAATAAAACTTTTAATTTAATCGGTAATTTTGAAAAATATTAATTAAAAGATAAGTTTTTAAACATATTCTCCAAAAGAATTTAAAAGAATGATATATAAAACATTTTTTCCTTAAAATTAATATATATTTTTACAAGAATAGTATAGTAAAAACAATTAGAGTCCTAGCGTACCTTAAATGATGTATCAATTTTTAAATCTAGATATCAACATCTAATAAGATCATAGACAAAGGGAGCTTGAGGGGGCTCAAGTCCCCCTAAACTTTTTAAAAATAAAAACTTTGGTCCTTTAAGTTATATATATTTTATTATTTCAACCCTTCTTTATATCATACTTTTTAATTATTTTAACCTTTGTTGTTCTAAATATTAGTTTTAGTGATTATGATAAAATTGAGGAAAATGAAGATAAAATAAAATAAGATAAAAATAATAATTAATTAAATACAAAGTTGTTCATCAATATCATCTTTTTATACAATAGTTTTTTATTAATATCTTTTTTTGTTCATTACTATCCTTCTACTTTTGTGTTTTCATTTGTTAGTGTTTATCTATTTAATATATATTTATTTTATCTTTCAATTAATATTATATATATAATACCATACCATCAATTAATATTGGTTTATTGATAAAAACTAAGGAATCTTAATTTAAAATAATTTTTTATCAAAAATTTTCTTTTCATTAACTTTTTAATTAATGCAAAGATGCATGTTGTTTTTTTTTTTGAAAAATTCATTTGATTCCTAAAAAATATTTCTAACTACATCATAGGATAAAATAGTATTTTAAAATTTAAATTAAATTTTAATTAAATAAAATAATTTTAATACTCTAATTATTTTTTAAAATTAAAACTAATACACACTATTATTTTTTATTATTCAAAATTGACAATTAATTCATACTTTTTTTTCGCATCAATGATAAAATTACAATAATGAAAAAGTGAGGACCCGGGTACCATGCATCGAGTCCACGGTTCCTCGGATTACCATGGTTTTAAACCAAATCAAGACTAAATTGACTGGATTTAATAAAATCCAACCCAAAGTGGAATCCAGTCCATATAAACCAAACCCAATCTGTATTGACTTGGTTTGGATTGGTTCCCGGATAAACTGGGACCAACCTGTACCGCTAACTGATAGGAGGGATTTATATGCTGCGGACGTCTTAGCCTCACTTGGTCATGGTTTAACGTTAGGCATGACTGTCTTTGTTGAAGACCAATGGGAATAAGGCCAGTCCTTCAACAGCACATTATAGAAACTTAGATACTTGGAACTAACCGTCTTTCCTCTTTAGTATGCATGTATATAAAAATGAAGAATAGTAGCTAACAATAAAAATACTTCTTTTTAGTGAATTTTTTTTTTTTTGAGTTTAAATTTTATAGTATATAAGGAGTGACTTAAAGGATGGAAGATACTTACTTTTCATTATATAACTCAAAAAAATAAAAAAGGATAAATTTATCTTTAGAGGTTAGTTTATGTAGATTAATTAACTAAATCATTTAACAATTATGGTTTAATGCATTCCTATATTATACATCAAAGATTAATTTTTGGAAAATATTTAGTTTTTGGGTTTTTCTAGCACAATTTAAAGATGCAAAAACAATTATTTTTTTCGCAATTAATTTAAAAAAATATATAAAAATTTACCTTTATTTTAACACTATTGTAACATAAATTACTTTACTTCACTAATTATTAAGTAAACTGGAATTGATATTTATATTTTTTACACAAATTGCAAAAAGGTCTGTTTGAAGTCAAAAAAACGTTTAATTCATTTGTCTTTCCGTTGGAAAAATGGTGCCTAACATTCCTCATGCGTCTAGCAACTAAAGATTGACCTTCAGATTATTGATTACGTATTTTCACCAATATATTTATATATAACAGATTATATATGTCCCACATGATGTAACATTATAAATTAATTTTTAAATTTAATAATGGTGGAATCTTCCACATGCATCTCACGTTATAAAAAATATATATGGCCGAGTATTTAATAAGCGGCATCATATCCTCTCAAGCAAAGTAACATAACTGCTTCTTCAAGTTTGAGTAGTTTAATGGGTCTATTTTCAGGGCATTTTGCAGCTTTGCTTCTGAGCGTAATGCTAGTTGTGATTGAGGCAGAAGTTCACCACTATGATTTTGTTGTAAGGAAAACTTACTCCTTTGAGTTCCATCTTCTTCTCTCTTTCTCTCTTGAATTTTTCGTAAAGAAATATAATATTTGATTTTCATAATTATTTGCGAGTTTAATTAGTTGAAAGAGAAAAACTTTACGAGGCTATGCAGCACAAAAAGCATGTTGGTGGTGAATGAGAGTATTCCCGGGCCAGTAATTCGTGTTCACAAGGGAGATACTGTGTACGTAAATGTTCATAATCAAGGGAATTATGGTCTCACCATTCACTGGTATGAGCCCTATTCTTTTTTCTTC